CAAAAGTTCCCCGGGGGGCCCCTTTCCCGGAAACACCCCTGTCGGCCCCCCCCCCCCCCCCCGCCGACTCAGGTTAAGAACCAAACTCTCAAGACGACGCCTGCACGAACGCTGCGTTGCCTGCCACATACAGCAGCTTCGGGAAGTAGCCACAGCAATGTGAGCTAGGTTGCTGCTGCTGCTGCTGCTGCTGCTATGCATACGCCACCCTGCTTGTCCCTTCAGCATCACGATCGCGGCAACAACACCCGCCCCCCACTCTCACCTCCGTCTCGTGCATGTCCGCCGCCGCAACCGCGGCCTTCTCGGACGAATCCGGCGCCTCCGGCTCCGCCCCGCGCGGCGGAATCGGCGCCGATTCGGCCGCGGCGGCGGTGGCCGCCGCTGCTGCCGCCAGCTTGCGCCCGGCCTTGGTGCGCTCCCCGCCCTGCATGCCGGCCCAGCGCTCCGCCGGCCCCGCCATCCGCCAGGACGGGGCAGCGGTGACGGTTTCCAGGCGTATGGAGGCCAGCAGCGGGGTGACGAGGGACAGGGCCTCGCCCGCCGGGGGCGGGGAGGGGTCCGAAAGCGGGGCGAGGAACACGGAGGTCGCGAGCGCCGTCGCCGAGAGGAGGGAAGAACCCGGTCCCGTCTGGCGGGGGGGACGGGGGGGGCGGGGGGGGTACTCATGTTTAGTATGCCCTAGCGGCTACACCATTGATCACGCGCAGAGCGGGGGCGAGGTCAGGAACGTGGTAGAGTAGAGCAGTATCGTCACAGTGAAAATGGGGCGGGGGCTGATGTTCTGTTCGTTGTATCTACTCCAGTCTGGTGGCGGGGGGGGGGGGGGGGTCCTGAACGTAGAGAAGTACCATCATCGTGAAAACGGGGCGGGGGGGTGATTTTATGTGCGTTATCCACTCGCTGCTGCCATTCCACCTCTGCCTTCGAGAGGGTTCTTATTGTTTTCGTCACTCGCTGCTGCCATTCCACCTCTGCCTTCGAGAGGGTTCTTATTGTTTTCGTGGAAAAGGGGATTCAACAAAGTGTTCTTCGCTAGCCGTATACGAACTGCTGTCGGTGAGACAATCGTATCGTTGTTCGTCAAGAAACACCGGCATGGCCGTCCCGATACGGTTGGTGCTGTTGCCATTGCTGTCTTCACGCCGAAAACCGTTCGTGGCCGGCACGCAAGACCTTCTTCGTCCCCACTCTTCAAAAAGACGAAGAGGCCCAATCAATCTTCGTCGTAATATAGCGCACGCTACACAAAAAAACAAAAATAATACAAACAATGAAGACTTATCATATACTCATAAGAGCCTAAAAGAACGATCAAGATATCTTCCGCTGTTGTACGTAGATGGAGAATTACCTGCGGCATGCCTCGCCACTGCTGCGTGAGTGTCAAGTCCGCGTGGGCCACCACGGCCGGACCCCCTCCACCTCCGCCTCTACCGCCACCGGCATGGGCGTAGCAGTCCCACTGCGACTCCGGCAAGCAGATGTACGCGTTTGCCAGCACCACCTCCACATCGGTGTTGTTAGGCCGAACCTCCACGTATCTGTTTGGTGGTGTTTGGCGTTTATATTGTTATTAATTGCCGTTTTTTGGTGGAAATGTGTGTATGTGTGTGAGGAGAGAGCGTGCGGGGAGACCCCCCCCGCCCTACAGCATCTGATGCAAGACCGATCTACTGCCCACCGCCTAAAAACGATGCTGGCCGACGGCAAAGGCCAGGCGCGCAGAGGGCAACGCTACACGCTTTCTACCTCACCCACGACAAACTCAGCGTCCTCTCACGTACGCACTATCGTGCCTGCCATATTCTCATGGATCGGCTACTGTTTGGAACGGCTGGTCACAGAATACATACCACGTATTACATACCAAGGTATTCCACAACCACAAAAAACGTACCAGTACTACTGTAGGAGTAAACTACCGTGTATATTTCATATCGGAGAACATTTTGGACGGCGACACACCTGTGGGGCCGGAGCATCCGGTCTCGCTCGCGGAACTCCTGGACCGGTTCCAAGAAGAAGCTCTTCAGGCCCGACAGCCCCCTGGCGAGGGCGACCACCCGGACGTCGGACAGGAAGACGGAGCACCGCTTGTAGTCCGTCGCCATGCGCATGTCGTACCAGACATGCGGCTCGAAGCCGACCCTGGGGTCTGGGCCGTTGTACCCGAACCCCCACCCGGGGTGTCTCGATTCTCGTCCGCCGTCCCCTCCGCCCCTCCAGACGAGGGGGCTGACGAGCTCGACCCCGTCCTCCTCCTTCGCGGACCACGAGAACCCGCCGCCGCCGCCACCGCCGCCTTTGGCGTTATCGTCTTCGTCTTCCCCGGGCAAACCTCCGCCCGCCGCCGCCGCCGCCGCCGCCGCAGCCGCCGCTCCACCGCCGCCGCTCTCGCTGAGGTCCCGGATGGAGATCGACCCGGCGCCGCAGGCGAGGGCGACCCCGCCGGCCATCCACTTCTTGTCGAAGCCCAGGAAGAACTCGCGGAAGTCGATCGCCGCGATCGGGCGGGGAGGGGGCCGCAGGGGGGGGGGGTCAAGCCGCCCCTCCTGGAGGGCGGGGGAGCCGAAGAGGGGAGGGGAAGGGTCGAGGAACTCGCTGCCGGCGCTACTACCGCCGCCGCCGCCGCCTCCGGCGGTCTCACAAGACCCCGCTCCCCAGGAGGCCGTGCTTCTCCCGCTCTCATTTAGTTCTTGCCGCTGTTGCCGGGCGCCACCGGCGTCGTCGTCGTCGTCGTCGTCGTCGTCGTCGTCGTCAGTGTCGGACGTGATGCTGCTGGCGTCCGAAAAGCCGTCCAGGTTTCCGGCCAAGGCCTGGATCTCCTGCTCCAGCCCACCGATACCGCCGCCGCCGCCGCCGCCGCTGCCGCTTGCCCCGCTCGCGTGCGAGCCTTCTTCGACGTCCGCCTCCTCGTCCCCGACGACATCATCTCCCAGATCGTAGGACGCGTTGTCGTCGTCGTAGTGGTCTCCGGGAAGAGCGTCGTCGAAGGCGTTTTGCTCTCCGCCGTCGCCGTTCGCCACCTGACAAAATAAATAAATAAAACAGCACCGGCGGTGTCGACATGCCGGTGTGGATTCGTCAGCTTTTTGCTGGTTTCGTGTCGATTCGATGGTCTATTCGAGTAGCTTGACTCTTTCTTGCGTGCTGTGTGCGTGCTGTGTGCGTGCTCTCTGAGAATACTCTCTTTGTCTCTGCCCTGTGAGAAACCGATACTCTAAATATCATCCATTGACATATCAACAGTCAGCACAAACCGGTGGGAGGTGTGCACGACGCTAACCCAATAGGGATTATTGCCACTTTGTCCCGGACTTTTCTTTGTGGATAGAGATGAAATGAATTAAAAAAAAAAATGCTACAAGATGAACGCTTCTCAACAAAGGTTCTGAAATATGTTACGTCGTGCCTGGTTGTGCGAATGACGGCGGTTCGGCCGGTGGTTTCATGCCCCGACCAAAGGCAAATTTGGAGCTCTTCTGTGTTCACGCCAATTTCGAACGGTCCGAAGGTAGGCTACCGTACGTGACGAAAGATATCACACCCCCTGGACCCATTTGGAAAGCTCGAATGCTCCACGACGAACAGAGTGCCAAACTCAGATGATATATTTTCGAAAAGCTCTCCACGATACGGTTCTAGCGCCGCCATTTTTTTTGCATCACCACTTTCTCTGTCGAGGAGCAACCAAACTGTGAGAATCGGTTCAGTGGGTGCAATATCTTATACTTCTAACACCTACGGACAGACATGGAGACGGGCAACACACAGTAGACAATAGACGGCACAGACAAACAGACAGACAGACAGACAGACAGACGGACGGACGGACGGACGGACAGACAGACAGACAGACAGACAGACACACACACAGCAGTATACAGACAAACGCACGCCAAAACCGTACATACCGCCGGCACCGCCGAGAGCTTTCTCCTGGAGGCCGCTTCCTCGGCCCGCCTCTTCGACACCCAGTCCCTCCTGTGATGGTCCAGCGGTTCCTCGTTGGGCGCGAAGAAATACGCCTCCTCGTTCTCGGAAACCGTCAGCCGTAACCGACGTGCATACACCGGCACGGACTGTTCGTTTGTGCGGTCGGTGTTTGGGTAAGGGGGCGGGGGGGGGGGGGGGTCCATCCTGTGTCCTGGGACCTTTCCGAGGGGGGGGGGGGGGGGGGGCCTCCCTGGTGACCCCCCGGGCCCGGAAGAGGGGGA